GTGTGTGTGTGTTTGTGTGTGTGTGTTTGTGTGAGAGTGTGTATGTGTGTGTGTATGAGTGTGTTTGTGTGAGAGTGTGTGTGTGTGTGGAGTGTGTGTTGACATGAGCAGTAAGAATCTGTGTCTGTTGTGTGATCTGGTGTGTTGGGGTGGAGTGTCACGTCTGCCTCTGATGTGAAATTTTCTGCATTCTCAAGCGTCCAGTGAGATTTTCTGTCATCTGATCAAACATAACGAGCTGCTCGTGTGGAAACAGGAAGAGGAATCTGGGTGTTTCCTGTCTGCTCATGTCCATCATCACGAGCGACAGCTGCATTACTGTATTCACACGTTCAGTCTGAGCGGATGTCCATTATGCTCACGTGACCGCGTGTGTTCTGTGTGTGTCTCGTGCTTTCATAAGCACTCATTCTGACCGTTGTGTGTGTGTTTTTAGGTTATACGGTGGTGAGTCCGTTCAGACGGCAGGGGAAAAACTGTGATCTGCTGGTTCTGACGGATCCAAGCGCGTCTCACAGCTGGAACTGGAAACCCATTTCACTGCACACAGCTCACAGAATCCCAGTGAAGAGTCCAGTGGAGAGAGACCACTGCAGGTACACAGACACACACACACACACACACACACACACACACACAGACTCGCACTCTCTCTCACACACACACAGATACACACACAGACACAGACACACACTCTCTCTCTCACACTCTCACACACACAGACACACACACACACACACACACACACACTCTCTCTCTCTCTCTCACACACACACACTCACGCGTACACCAGTTACTGATTGCACTGTTTCAGTGTATTTCTGTTGTTTCTTCTTTTTATACATATTAAATCCATTTTTATTTCTGATGCATCTTTTATGACTATTTTTAATAATTTATGTAAAACACTTTAAATTATGAAATATTTGGTAACACTTAAAGCTACGCAAAGCCTTTATAATGCATTATTAAGGTAATCATAATGTATGTTGTAATGCATTATCTTTTCATAAATTCTAACCAAAGTTAAAATGCATTATTATATTTCCAGATTCCTTGTTACATCTGAAATTGATTGTTTGTTATGTTTTAATGCATTACACTTATATTGCAATACACAGTTATTCATGAGATCATACAGTGCATTTATTACAAGGCATAATTAACGCATTAAAATACCGATGTAATGCATTATATATGAAGTTATTAATCAACCCGAACCGTTCGTTTCTCTCCTGCATCTGCTGTGTTTGTATGTTTCAGGCTGTCGGTCATTGATTCCTGTCTGGATCTGGTGAAGAGATGCACGTCGCTCTATAAAGACCTGCCGTCATTCGCTCACATCTTCCAGCCAATCAGAACGCTGCTTCTCAAGCATCTTCCTGTCGAGAGTTACCCCGCCCCTATCCAGGTTCAGCATCTACAGCACACGTCACATTCACTCTCATCGGCTCGTTTGATTCATTCTGATGTTCTTGCATGCAGGATCTTCACAGAGAGATCTTAGAGGCCATTCCTGAGCAGCCTTCCCAGCATGCACCTCTGGTGTTCAAGAAGAAGAAACCCATCCCGCTGAAGCTCTTCACACCGAAAATAGTGCAGATGTGAGTGAAACATGAACTAGAATAAGAGCGGAAACTCTTTTAATTCTGACAGATTTGGTTTAATTCTGGTTTCTCCTGCAGTCTGGATTACGGTAAAAAGCGAGGGAACACGAAGGAGGAGAAGGAGCGCGAGCGGCTCCAGCACAAATACAAGCGTGAGTTTAAGGGAGCGCTGAGGGAGATCCGGAAGGACACACGCTTCCTGGCTCGGGAGAAGCTCAGTGACGTCATGAGCAGGTCAGTGTCTGTGTGGAGGAACGTCATGTGACCGTGCTTCATCCTCAGGCTCTGATCGTGTTGTGTTTGTGTGTCAGGGATGCGGAGAGGAAGAGGAAGGTGAAGGAGCTGTATGGAAGTCTGGCCACTCAGGAGGGAGAGTGGAAGGCCCTCAAGAGGAAGAACAGGAAGTGAAGAAGCATTCGAAGCCATTGTTTCTGTCATGAACTGCTTTAGTACTCTGGAAAACTTTATTCTCATGATAGGGTTTTTATCTGACAAATCAAGAGAAATAAAAGGATTTCGTATTTTTGTACAAATGTCAAAACATTCTTTAATCAAGATAAAATCAAAATGACATGAGATATTACGTCTTGTTTTCTTGAAGCTGTATTAAAATGAAGTGAGTTTATGCTTAAAACAAGAACAAGTATCTGCTAATGGGCTCAGAATGTGTTTCTGACCTCACTGTTTAAAGCTTAATCCCACTTATTTTTGATGCATTTTTCAGAAAACTATACTCAATATCTCCTCATTCTGCTTCTCAAATATCTTGATTTATAAAAGTTTAGATACCTGTACTGGAAGATGACAACAACAAAAACTGAAAAAGAAATCAATTCAATTTTGATTCAATAGAGTTTAATAACCGTCACTGTTCATCAATTATGAAATAATTTCAGCCATAAATCAGCTCTACAGAACACAATAGTATTATTATTCAGCTCATTCTCATCCAACTGAATAATGGTAAAGAACCAACTAATGCGGAAACTCCAGGAATAAAGTATTAGTTTGACCATCTTTCAGCCCATAGACAGCAGGTCAGAATAACTGAGGCTTTATAAGAAAGTATACAGCAGAGACAAGTGTGCATTGAAATCAAGCTTTATTTAGTGCCTGGGAACATTTTGAGACCGTTTTATTCATTGTGATTCTCAGGAGGCCCAGGGAACTCAGCTAGTTTAGCAGGACATGGTTTAGTCGAGGTTGATCTTCAGGCGATAGCCGTGTGTGTCTCTACAGTACGAGAGACAGACGTGGTTCTCTCTTCTGTCACTGCTTAGGAAAACAAGACAACACACATCAGATTTAAGCAAAACTAAGCACTTTCTAAGGCTGGGATGCTCTACATGACTTCAGACTCCATGCACGGTCTGGACGAGTCAACGTTAGTTGAATTTGAGTTATCTTTTAGCTTCAGACTTTGATTGCATCCAGTCGGTGGAGATCAAAGATGTTTGATATTTTGAACCGATTTTAGAACACATTGTTTCCATTTGTCATGTGTCTCCTAGCAACGAGGTTTGGCGCGCTGAAGTCCTGGGAATTTCGTATTTGCAACTTGGGAAGTCGTAATTACGACATCAGATCAGTTCAAATCGCAACATCAAATGTACCTTTTCTACAAAAAACATAATAATCCGCATTTTTTCCCCACTCTGCTTCTACAAAATTATGATTAAACACTGCGAATTACATGTGTTTTTGCTTTATGCTTTTATTCAGTTAAGAAACATATATTGTCATCTTTTGTGCATGCAACTTGGCTACTTTTATTGTAAATGGGATTTTTTAAAATATTTTATTCCAAGAAATGTACCCTTAATACTGCATCCGCCCTATTTTCTCACTGACACGCCCACAACTTGGAAACTGGGCTTACAGAAAGTTAAGTTTCCCACTGAATTATGACTGTGGTGAAATTCATGTACGTTGAACTCGTAAATACTATCTTTCCGAACGTACCATTTGTCTGGTAGTGTGATTCTCAGTTGCTTAGTGCAATGGTTCCCAACCCTGGTCATGGAGGCACCCCTACACTGCATGTTTTGCATGTCTCCTTAACCAAACACACCTGATTCAGATCATCAGCTCATTAGTAGAGACTCCAAGACCTGAAATTGGTGTGTCTAGAGAAAGGAGGCATGCAAAATGTGCAGTGTTGGGGTGCCTCCAGGACCAGGGTTGGGAACCACTGACTTAGTGTATGATGCCCAATTGTTTTCAGAAAGTCATGTAGTGTATTCCAGCCAACTGATCAGCTACTGATTTACCTGCTGCTCCAGACAAACCTTCGGCGACGGAGATCCCGAGCCGCTTCTCCTCTCCTTCCAGCAGCTTCCTGTAGGTGGCGATCTCAGCGTCCAGCTTCAGCTTGATGTGGAGCAGCTGCTGGTACTCGGCCAAGTATTTTCCCATCTCCAGCTTGGTCTCGCACAGCTGGCTCTCTAGCTGGGCGATGATGTCCTCCAGACCGGCCGTCTTGTCCAGGTGCGCCTCCTCCATGTCCTCCAGCTGCTGCTCCAGCGCCGCGTTCCTCGCCCTCAGCCCGTCGATCTGGTTCTGCAGGTCCGTCACCTGGTTGTGGAAGCTGGTGATCTCCTCCTTCATGCCCTTCATCTGGTCCTCGTGTTTGCCGGCCTGCTCCTTCAGAGTGTCGAATTTGCCCTTGTACCACTTCTCGGCCTCCTGGACGTTGCGAGCAGCCACCGCCTCGATCTCGGCGCGCATGTTGCGCAGGTAAGCGGCCAGGTCCGGTCTGTCGGAGTCGAGCTCCACCGTCACCTTAGACTCCTCGATCTGCTTCAGGAGGTCGGCGACTTCCTCGTTGTGGAGCTTCTTCAGGAACGCGATCTCAGCCACCAGCTGCTCGATGCGCTTCTCCAGGTCGGCCTTCTGTAGCGTCGCGTTGTCCACGTCTTGACGGAACTCGCGGAGAATCATTTCAGCCTCCTCTGTGGAGTCAAGAGAGAGGTCACGTAAAAATGGTGTCGATATAATATTACATAAAGAGAATGCATTTGATTTAGTCATGCAATAGACGTTATTGGCATTGACCCTCTTGTAAATGAGATTTTAAATCTCAAGAGTTTCATTTCCTAGTTAAATAAAGGTTTAAATAAAAAAATATATAAAAATCGATGGTTTCATGAAGAACCTTTAACATCCATGGAATCTTTCCATTCCACAAAAAGTGGAAAAAGGTTCTTTAAATTATTAAAATGTTCTTCTAAGAACAAAAAATGAGCTGTTCACTGAAGGTTTCTTTGGGGAACCAGAAATGGTTCTTATTTGGCATCACTTTGAAAACCCCCCTTTTGGAACCTTTATTTTTAAGAGTGTTTATTGGCATTGATGGTTCCATGAAGAACCTTTAACATCCATGGAACCTCCTTTATAGTGGAGAAAAGGGTTTTTAGATTATTAAAATATTATTCACTCTTAAAAATAATGGTTCCAAAAGATGTTTTCAAAAGAACCATTTTTGGTTCCCCAAAGAACCTTTTAATGAACAGTTCTTAAAAGAACCATTCTTGGTCTGACGAACATTTTAATGATCTAAAAAACCTTGTTTCACTACACAGAACCTTTTGTGCATTGGAAAGGTTCCATGGAAGTTAAAGGTTCTTCATGGAACCATCAATGCCAACAGAGAACCTTAGATGGTCTTTCAAGAACTGTTCACTGAATGATTCTTTGAGGAACCAAAAATGGTGCAGTTTATTCAGTTGAAGCCAAATTTTGTCACTTTCTAGACAATGTTTAACACTTTGTATTGTGAGCACTTCTCCTTAAGATGTGTTCTTCCTTTGTAAGATAAAATAACCTGCTAAATCAGGGCTTCTGAACTCTGGCCCTCGAGGTCCACTTTCCTCCAGAGTTTATCTCCAACCCTATTTAAATACACTTGAATCAGCTAATCAAGGTCTTCAGGATTACTAGAAACCTCCAAGTGTGTTGGAGCTAAACTCTGCAGGACACTGGCCCTTCAGGAGCAGATTTGGATGCCTCTCTGATAGATCTATAAACTGTTAATGAGCTTCTGTATCATATATCTCACCTTTGATGGCCAGCTCCTCCTCCAGCTTGAGTCTCCAGACCTCCACCTCCTCCTCGATGTAGCCTCTCTCTATATCAGCTGCGCCCTTCTCTGCGGTCAGAGCTTCGATGAGCTCCCTCATCTCTTTAAACTTGAGCTCGTACTCGTCCCCGAGGCCGGTGGGCCCTCCCTTGAAGCGTCCCTGAAGGGCCTCCAGCTCGGCTCTCAGAGCGCTGTTCCTCTGCTCCAGCGCCTGGACCTTCTCGATGTATCCGGCGAAGCGCACATTGAGCTCCTGCATCACCTCCTTCTCGTTGGCGTGGTGCTGGTGGATCTCGGTGGCCACTTCCACTGCCTGGCCCTGGAGTCCCGTCCGTCCGCGGCTGTACGAGGATCCACGGCATCGGGTCGGAGACGGGCTCTGGACCCTCATCCGGCTGGAGCCGCTGATGCTCAGGCTCTTCTGCGAATACGACGAACCTCTCATGACTTTAGACTCGGAGGAAGCTTTGGCTCTCGGTTCTGCTCGCTGACTGCAGGCGGAGACGCTCGTTGGCGTTTATATGGGCCTGCCAAGAATCTTGCAGAGTCCCTTGAAAGTCTTGCGGGGTTTTGACATGTTTTAAAAGCGGATCATGACGCTCCTGCCAGAGTTCGAAGGCCTGAGTTTCTCATTATCTCACGTATCATTGTCATCAATTAGACGTTTGGAGGCCGGCGGCCCTCGCACTTCAGTGCCACATAGCCGGCGCGTGCGAGCAGCACTATTTCTCCAGCTGTAATCTCAGACTCACTGTTTCCATATAACCTCATACAGACGCGCAGGTCCTGGAATTCATGTGAGAAACTATTATATATTAATTGAAATAGTTTTTATATTTTCATTTTTGTTAAAGTTTTAGTAATTTAGTTTAGCGTAAGTTTATTTTTTTAAATGTTTGTTTTGTATAATTTTGTTTTTGTCATTTTCATTTGTTTTTAAAAATGTCTATGTAGTTTTTATTTTTTCTTAGTTTTAGTAATTTTGTTTAGTGTTTTTGTAATTTTTAATAAGTTTATTTTTTTAATGTTTGTTTTTGTAATTTTTATTAGTTTTTAAAATTTGTCTATATAGTTTTAATATTTTTTTTCTGATAGTTTTAGTCATTTTGTTTTGTGTTTTTGTCATTTGTATTAGTTTTTAAAAAATATTTCAATAGTTTTTATTTTTTATTTCAGTTTTGATTTATTTTAGTACATCAAGTTAAACTAAATGAAAATAATAATTGCTTCCTAGGCAACTAGCTGAAGTTTTAGTATTTTTAATATTTCATATGGTTTCAGTTAACATTTTATTTGAAGTATTTATCTTTTTTTTAGGTTTTAGTGTTAGTGAACTATAATAACCCTGGAATCTCTTGTAAAGCACCATATATTCGTCGTATTCTTTTTTTCTTGGTCATCTTTCATTTTGCAAAAATAAAAACATTCATATAAATGAATCTTGAATTTAGACGTGATATGGATTACCTTGATTCAAATAAAAGTGCTCATTTTGATTCTCAGTTTGAGATTGAGTCTTTCATGTCTTGATTAGACGAGCAAATCTTAAAACGGAGTTTTTAACTGGTAAAGCAAGCTACTTTACAATCAACAAAGCCGCTAAACTTTTTCTTTCATTGCTTGATTTAAGAGTTAGAGACTGAATCTGACACATGACGTGATTCTGTTCTGCTGGAATGTGATTGTGTCATGAGAATATAATGACATCCTCAGCGTTTCACTGACACTGACTGATGAGTGTTAATGGATGTGCACACACACACACACTTTCATTCTGCCCTGTTTAAAAACATACATATAGGTATATTGTCTCTT